ATCTTTAATTTTAGGAAAATAAATCGCAAGAGAACCAGAAAGGAACACTCAGAAGTCAAGAGGAGACGTCTTCAGCGAGCCTAATCAAAACAAGTAGAACCACAACCTTTTTGGGTTGGCACACAAGAGTACTAGGACATAGGAAGTGATAAATTTGGTATATACGCGGTAGAGTCTAGAGCTATTTGGCTAACAATAGACGTGTTTGAGCATAGACGTGGTCCATGAAGCACGTTTATTGTTAGTCAACTAGCTCTAGCCTCCACCGCGCCTATTCTCTTTCTATCCCTAATACCAAGCCTATGACTTGCTATCTCTTAGCCTCTTGTGTCCCAACCCAAAAACGTTGTGGTTCAGAATTTAACCTAATAAAAGCAAGTAGTACCACAGCATTTGTGTGTTGGCACACAAGAGACTAGGGCAGGGGAAGTCATAGACCTGGTATTTGGGATAGAAGCAGGATAGACGCGGCGGAGACTTGGACTAGTTGGCTGACAGTAGGTTGTACCAGAAGCGTGGTCCATGTAGCAATGGCTTGAGTGTGGGAAATAACGCCTCGAGTAGCACAGATGGGGTGGCAGAGGTCGAGTGAAATGCTTGAACCTAATCAAAGCAAGCAGTATCACAACATTTGTGGGTTGGCGCACACGAGACTAGGGCATAGGAGGTCATAGACTTGGTATTTGACATAGAAACAGGATATAGACGGCGGGGACCGGGGCTAGTTGGCTGACGGTAGGTTGTACCAGAAGCGTGGTCCATGTTGCAATGGCTTGAGTGTGGGAAATAACGCCTCGAGCAGCACAGATGGGGTGGCAGGGGTCGAGCGAAATACTTGAACCAGGGAGGTAGCAGACGGATCCCACGGGGCAAGAGGGAGTGACAAGATCCAGAGATTGAGGACTGCGTAAAAATATGGCAGACGGATCAACATTCTGAGCACAAGGTTGCAGGGCGTGAGGGGGTGAGAAAGCCGGCGTGGAGTGTGGAGGGTTCTCATGAAAGCCGATGAAAAGGGCACATCACACTTCATGTAAATAAGCAAAGGAAAAGAAAAATTGTGATTGTGAATGCGTGACACGAGGATATGGGAGAGGTGAATAGCCCAGGACAGAAGGAGAGATACCACAATTATTTGGTACACATTTGGTCTCTTTGACGAGTTGTAGTGTTGCGACAAGACTGGCAAGAAGTACTGACGATGCCGACTACGATGCCGGCGAGACGTTTGGGAATGTATCACGTCCACGATTCGACTTTGGAAATTATCATATTCAAGTAGAGAATCTGCTCAGCCGCTGCGTCATGCTCGCCTGCTACCTTTTGCCAGCTGGACCGAACTTAGGCCGCGTCGCTTATCGATCAGAGTTCACGCCAGGAATCCAGTATCTGCATCTCTCGAACATACACACACACATACGCATACGCATACGCATACGCATACGAACACGAATAAGAACACGCTGAGCAGACTAGTCGGATAAGCTAGTACATAATCTGCACATTCTATCTTTCCAACTGTCTCTTCGCCTATTA